CATTCTGAGTGGACAGGATTTTATTGACTGACCTGCCATGGTGGAAATAAAGTTGGGTATAACCCTTTCACCCCAAGAACGTTCTACTGTCATTTCTTCGGTCACACTGAATCCGTAGTGAACTTGCCTGGGGCTGAAACCCATTGGCAAGACACCCTAATTTAGTCTCGTTTTCTGAGGCTGCTGCTCACCCAAGGAGTTTTATGGCCACAAAGTAAAGCGAAGCCCTCAGGCCAGGAAGATCTACTGGTAGATGCCTACAAGTACTGACCTGGTAGCTTCTGTTTTTAACAGTTTAATTTCAAAGGAAATGGACCTCACTTAACTGAATTTCCTTTTCTATTTTTTCTAGCTATTAAAGAACTTGCATATCTAATAAATATTTAATAGGAATTCCCCTCCAGCTAAATTCAGGCCCCTCAGCATCTCATTACCATGTCTTAGAATAGTATCCTCATTGTCACTTGCTTAATTATGCTAAGAAAGAGTTGAATTGTGTGGCTGTTGGGATCAGAAAGCGATTAAATTCACTTGGCAAGACTTTGGATATCTCATTATGATCCTCATTTAGCGCTTCTAATGGAGTTATTTTTTTCCCCCAATTCTGACTTGGGAAAGGCTTGCTCAGTGCAGCTACGTATTTCCTAAGCCTTGCACACTTTGCACTGTGCCAGGAAAGATCAGAAGTTCCTTCACACATCACTGGCACCAGCCACGCAGTGAGCAATGACGTAAAGGCCTCTGATGTTTGAATCCCTTCTGCAGCAACGTCACTGAGGGCTAGTCCAGGCCCTGCTTGGCTTCCTCCAGATCAGCTCTCACTAGCGCAGCCCATCCCCTCTTTGGACCGCTAAGTCCTTCATTGATTTCAGCCATTAGTCCTCTCCCTGCCTTTTTTTGGTAACACATCTCTCTTTTAGAAGATCTCTCAGCCATCTGGAGATTTCCTCCCTGGGGCCCCTCTGAGTCTTCTCCCCTCTCAGTTATTCATCCCCATTTCCTTCATTCTTCCCGTGACATGTCCAGTCCCTTTATCATCCAAAGAACGCTCTGTCTTCCTCCCTCCCTCCCTTCCTTTCTTCCCGAGTGCCTGCCCCCTGCCCTCCCGGAGCTGAGAGTCTAGGTGGGGAAATGAAGAGGCACAGAGACATTTGCTCTGGTGACCCAGGTATCGTGGGAGGAGGGAGAGAGGGAGCAGCATCCACTATAGATAAACGCTGCCTCTCCGCCCTCCGTGCTAGGTACAGTCCATGGATTGCTTTGCTCACTCCTCACATCACCCCATTCTACAGAAGAGGAAACTGAGGCTCACGGAGGTTAAGTAATTTCCCCAAGATCATACAGTACGTAGCAGATTGAGGATGTAAACCCACAGAACACACCATTACTGGGCTGAGTGTGGACCCCAGATTTGGACTCAATGCCCTAAGAGTCCTCCGACCAGTCAAAGAGCACAGTGTTTCCCTCCTCCTGAACACCGTCTTTGCCTCCACCTGGGTTCCTCTTTCTTGTCTTGGAAGCATGATCTCTCCACATGCTGATTCTTATGAATGTGCTGACCACCAATCCCAGAGACGCTGCTTGCCTACCGCTCATCCCAGTGGCCCCTCACTGAGCTGCCTCCCTAGCCTGCCCTTCCCCCAGATTTCCCCCAGCAAAGCTGCTGCCAGGCCCTTGCTCCCAGGCCCACATGCCTGCAGGTCCAGGGTTTGGCCAACAAGCACTGAATCCCGGAAGAGTGACCTGAAGGGAGGTCCCAGCTGCACTCCATATGCTTCCCAGCATCCCTGGGCCTTATTCTTTGGAAAAGCTTGTTGTTTCTGCACATAAATGAAACAAACACAAGAGTGTTCAGCACATGTTCAAGCCTCAGCAAACTGCGTTTTGTTCCTGTCTCCTCTGGTAGACCACCTGATAGAAGGTGCACATCCCACGGGGAAGCCAAAACATCAAGTAAAAACATGCCTAACCCACTGATTCCCAAGGGGAGGCTAGGCTACTTCTTGGATAAGGAGGGTCAACAGCCCCAGTTCTGCCACCAACTTGCACCGTGAGCTTGGCAAGTCCCTCCCCTCTCTGGGCTTCCTCTTTTGCATAACGGGCAGTTTGAGCAAGCCAACCTCCATGGGCTCTTCTAGCTTTAACATAGGATGAGTTCAAGCCCATTTCTTAAGTGCTTCGTTTTCCAAGAACACCCTTGAGTGCCTACCCAATGCAAATCCCTGCAGAGAAGGGGCGAGCCCAGTGACTCAGGAAGTGGAGGCAGCTGTTGCTATGCAGTATTTTGGCTGTCCTGGGACCTTCTTTTTTGCCCTGTTGCTGGCTGCTTATAATCCCAGTTTCACGTCTTGGGAAGCACCAGCACAAAGCAGCAGAGCAGAGAGGGAGGCCCAACCTCAACTCCGATCTGCTTTCTAGCAACTTCCAGACAGCCTTTTCCAGTCATCATCTAGCCACCTGGGCTCTGGAGCTTCAGTTCCTTCTAGATGGCCTCTGCCCAGACCAGGGAAGAGATGGAACATTCCAAAAATACACAGAACTGTTGTTAGTATTCAGCAGTCTTAGGGGGGTAGGGGGTTAGTGCCTGTCCTCAAACAGAAGAGGAAAGGCACAGTGGTGACGTTAGAAAAGAAAAGGTGTGGCTGAAAGGAATGTGGAGATGGTCACTGCAATAGGCCTGCCAGATGACACCATAGACCGAACAAGGCCACACTCACCTGGGGAATATACCAGGCCTGGCCCCTATCCCTAAGCTCATCCGCTGACATCATCAGGGTCGATTGCATGTGGGGGTGCTGACTGACACCCCAAAGGCTCTCAAAGCCCCAGGGAAGGAAATGAAAAGCCACTTTACAGGATTGCAATAAGAAATGAAACTGCCATGGAGCCTAGACCCTCGTGTCACTGGGTCCTTGGGAAGCTGACTTGCTAGGAGAAAGCTGCTTGTGGAGCCTGGAGGCAGGCTGTGGGTCCCTGGAGCAAGCTCCGTCTCAGGCCTGGGCGTCTCCCTGGGTACTTGGGGAAGTGGATCCTGGCAGTCTTGGAGCTCCCATTCAGCCCTTAAGATGCAAAGACTAACCTTGTGTCCTTGTCAGGTTTGCAAACCACATCCCAAAGAGACCCCTGAAGGGAAAATGGAAGTTTCCATGGCCAGGATCCTTACCTGATACCCATTGTGTAGGTGCAATGAGGTAATACTTAGCCCACTACCCGAGGGCATGCTTGCATGCCCGTTGGCAATAAGCCAGTACAGCTGGTATTGCTCTCAGAAGAGCTCCGCCCGGTGCTAAGTGCAGAGGGAAGCGGGAGAGAAGAGATCCTAGAGAAAAGAGCAAGAGAGCAGGGGAGAGGAGAGGAGAGCAGAGACGGAGGCAGATGGGATTCTAGCACTCCTACCCCCATGAGGATGAAGCTTGGGATGCACCCCTTTTCATCCCCAGGGTTCATTTGTCCTTATTTGGTCTCCCTGAATCTGTAGTGAACTTGTCTGGAGCTGAAACCCTCAGGCAAGACACTCCCACACCAGATGCCCGGCCCCGCCCTCCCCTGGCCCACCTGCCCCGGGCACCGCGCTTCCACCTGTGGGCTCTCTGCCTGCTCACTACCGCCAAGGCTTCATAGCCAGGCTCCATTCCAGTCTCAGCAGTCTCCCAGTTCTTCCTTACATGGATAACGACAATGTGAAAACAGCCCAGAGGATGGCAGGGGGCAGATCAGAGCTGGAGGGGCATGGAATGGGAAGGTGGGGGCCTGGGTTTCAGAGCTCAGGCTGACTTTGGTGAAGGGTCTCAGACAACTCCTTTCACCTCTGAACCTCAGTGTCTGTAACTGCAACGGGTGAGGACAGACTTGGTATGAAAAAGACCAAGCAAGAGAATAAGGAATGTAATTGACAAACAATTGAATCGAATGTGTCCTACACTGTCCTAGACTCTTTACAAATGTTACCTCATTTAATCTGCATCACAATCCTTGTTTTGGTTACCAAAGAGGAAACTAAGGCACAGAGAGGTTAAGTAACTTGCTCAAGGTCACAGTTGGCAAGCCTCCGAGCTGGGATTTGCACCCCGCTCATCTAGCTGCAGAATCTGGACTTGCAACCATGATCGTATGCTGAGGAGCAGAGGCTGTTTCCACTCCCTCTGCTTCGGACTTCTCCTTCCCCTACTTGGCGCTGTCGCTCACACACCCGCGGGCTAGCTGCAGACCCTCTAGAAAGGGACACCCAGGAGAACCTGCAGAGCCTCCAGGCCTCGTTCTGGGCACCAGTTACTACTCCCAAGGCTCGACCGTGCGCCTCAGAGACTCACAGGACCCTGGCTTCTGAGGTCCACAGCATCGATCTTGCTCACAGCCATGTCCTCACTTATCATGATTCTTTAATCAATAGCCCCTTCAGCAACTGCAACTTGGAGCTGGTCTTCCTGGACATGACCTTTGGCCGGGACCAGTCTCTTCTAGGTGGCCAGCGCAAGTTCCCCCAGAGAGGAGCGTCAGGAGCTTTGTCCTTTGCAGAGAGTGCCAGGCCACGGTTCGAAGTTGTCACTTGGCTTTCATATAATAAATGTCTGCCTTGGGAGATAAACGGACTTCATTTCCTTTTCCCTCATTTTGTGAAGCCTGCTTGGCTTACAGGTAGTTTTAAAAGCAAGAAAAGGAGTTGGGAACACCTTGTTGAGAGCAAAACAGAGCTCGGTTAGTCCCCTGCAAGACATTCTCCAGAGCCTCTCTCTTCCTCCACCTGCCCCTTCAGAGAGCAGGACTACAAAAGGCAGATCATTCCCATGAGACACAGCAAGTAGCCAGCTCAGAGCGCACTCCTACCCTGGCAGCTTTCGAGTCTATTTCACAGCCTTCTCAGAATCCTCTTATCCAAATATATTCAGATAATAAAACCACTATAGAACTACAATGACACAGTTAAACAAAAATGCCTGATGGTTTTATTTGTTTTTTTATCCTTCGTCTCGGGGAAGGAGAAGCATCGTACAGACACTTACCAAGGCAGCCCCGTCTTGAGAACAGCTGAGGCCTCCATCTTGGTGCCCCCGACCACGCATCAGGATTTTAATCCCCAACATCTTCATCACTGAGGTCACCGTTCCAAGTTCGCCCTGGCAAGGAGAGGCAAGCCTGCAACATGGAAAATAGCTCCCATGTCATGCTTTTCTTCAGGTCTAAAAGGAATCCACACATAATCAGAAATTCTTTGTGATGTAGGGCAGGGAAAATAATGGGAAAGGAGGCAATGATTACAAACAGGACAGCTGAAAGAAGATGGCGGATAGTTGATTAAATGTGGAAGTTAGCCTCTATGGGTAAATAGCCCCAACATGCTCTCCTTTAAGAGGAGCACAAGCTCCTTGATGGCATTCAATCAGAGAAATAATGGATGGAAGAAAATCAATATCCACTGAGTTTCCAGAGAGTGGAGGGCACAAAGCTATATGTTCCATGTGTGTGGCCTCCCCGAAGCTGCAGAATGCCCCTGGAAGGGGGATGTTGTCACCATTCACTCAACAGATGAGGAAACCAGAGCTCAGAGAGGAAGTGGCTTACCTAGGGCTGCATGACCAGGAAGTGGCAGAGCTGGTGCTCAAGCATCAGGAGGCCTTGCTCTTTCTGAGGAAACCAGAGAAAGGCACTGTAGGAAATACAGTTAATCGTTTTGACTTGCAGGAAGCCTAGGATTTCCCAGGGTCTGAGTCCCTTTGATGCATACTGCCTACCCGCTTAACACCCTCACTTAAGGGGCAAGAGAACGCTTCCCTGTACTTCCTGGTACTCTAATTCAGCGACTATTCTTGGTAGCTATCCTTGGAGTTCCAGCTATTTGGTTACATGCTTCATTCTTTTGGTATTTTCAGAAGCCATAGACTAAATCCTTGGCCACTTCCATTACTTAGGAATCTTTTGGTTACAAGTGACAGAAATCAAACTCTATCTAGCCTAAGCTCCCGCAAGACCCCGCAGATAAAAAATCCAAAGGCTGGAAAGAGCAAGAATCCTCAGAAACAACAAGAACAAGGAATTCAAATACCATGAGCATACGCACATTCACTTAGGAATGTCCACGCTCACTCCCACTGTGTGTGTGTGTGTGTGTGTGTATGCGTGTGTGTGTTAAAATTTTACAATGTGTAGCTTTAGGCCTGACTCTTTTGAGGTCAAGTTTAAAAATCCAACAGAAAGGATTTCATCCAGCTTGAGATAACATCTACACCAACAAAGGCCAAAGGGCAAGGTCAGGGTATGGCAGCTTTGAGGGGAATCATGTGAAAGGAGAGAGGCTCAGGAAAGGGGCAGGTGACAGGCAATCCTATTGAGGCTTGTGTATCTGTTTATAGATTGGCTTCCTTTAAAAATGTCCACCCTAGTCCAGTCAGCTACAGCTGGGAACAGTCAGGTTGTACTCAGCATGTTCGACCAACAACTGCTGCTTGAGCTGGGGCTGAAGGTGGGACCAGCCCTATACTAGACAAATCGAAAGCCTGCTCAGAATCTGGGAGCTATGGAAGCCCGAGGATGTAGCACTCAATCCTGTTACAGGCACACATGAAGGCTAAGGCCCTAAAGGCTGTGTGACAGTCACTCTATGCTCTTCACCTGTAGCTTCCCCTCTCAAGCAACCTTAGTCAAGCTCTGGCTGGCTGACAGTCCTGCCACAACCATCCCCCAGGTCATTAGAGAAACTCTTATAGGCAGAACTTGCCATGAAAGGGCTAGCGTGAGTCCTACTCATCAGCCATTTTAGCTCATTTCAGTTCATTTTTCCACATCCACAGAGACCACATATTGCCTGCTACCTTAAGCTCCATTTCTTTTCCTGTCACTAGGCATAGGATTGGTGTCCACATTCATCTTACCTGCAGTGAAGCTCAAAAAGCAGCTTACTTTTCATTGCCATCTCATCTCAGGTTCTTAGAAAACTTTTCTACTCCTTCCCTCATTATCAGAGATTATAAACCAGTGGCCCACTGACTAACTCTGATCTGCAGACCAGCCTTGTATGGTGTGTAGTATTTCAAAAAATATGAATTATTTGCCAACTTAGAATTTAGGAGATTCATTCATGAATATGCAAGTTTCCAGCTTCTCATGAAAACTTGGGAGACCTGGCCACACTTGGCCTCAGTCCCTCTTGGCAACAATCAGCTGGAGCTGAGTATGGCTGCACTCTTGCATGGAGCATGCATGCTTCGGGCTATCCTCTGGGGTCTGAAGCCCGTTTCCCTCACTGCCTCCACTCATTATCTGTCTGGCCTCTGGAGGCCTTTAAGACCCTGCCTTCAATAGCTTTTTACTTCCTTTGTGTATAAGAAGGGTGTTCCACTTTAATTTGTCTTTCACCTTAAACCATTTTTGGGGAACCAGTTAGGTATAAGTTACAAAACATTACTTATTAAAAAGAGATGAATGCAAAACCTTTGATGGCTTCACAGTAACGTTGGAATGAAGTCCAGACTCTCAGCATAACATCCAAGACCCTTCATGATCGAACTGCAAACTACATTTCCATACCATGGCCCACCATGCTCCACCACGTGTGCTCTGCAAAAGCCACACCCAGCCACTCTTCATTTCCCAGGTCCACCATGGCAATATCCTGCATGTCACAGCTCCTGCTCCCTCTGCCTAGAATGCCCTTCACCTGGCCAGCCAACTCCTGTGAGCCTGCACAGCCCAGTACAACACCATCCCTCTCCACAGCCCTCCAACTGCATGCCTGCCCAGGGCCACCTGCCAACCCATACAGTGTCTTCGTGAAAATCAGAAAAATATGCCCCTTCCTCGAGACATGTTCTTCTATTTGCTAGAAAACTGTCCTCATAAATATACACATTTTTTCATACCTACAGAATGGATGGCTTCTACTAAAATGGGGCAGCCTTGTGCAGCACGTGACCTGCGGGGCGGTATTTAGCAGTCCCACTCCTGCCAGAACAGAATGAACAACTCTGCTGTGTTCTCACAGTAATGCTTCACACCTCTACCACAGAATAGGAGATACTAAGGGGCTGCCCGTGTCTGTCATCCCTACAGATAGGTCATGAGTTTCTCAGGGACCAGAAACCACATATTCATGATTTCAGGCTTCTCAGAACTTATGGAAAGCATTCCATAATGGACACTGAATCAGTTTGTCAACTATTCAATTGTGAACACCTGACGGCTGGATGGAGCAGATAGAAAATAGCACGATCAGACAGCCTGAAGGGGAGTGGAGGGTTCAGCTGACACCAGCTCATGGACAAAGGGGCCCAGAGAATCCCTTAAAAGCAATGGGGTTTGAATTGTCAGGAACAGTATTAGACTTGGAGATCTACAATGCCATTAAAAGAAAAACTGAGAGGACTGAACTAAAATGTGTTATTCCATTCTCAAAATGGATTTTCCTTTGTATTTTTCTGACGCCTAACACAATAAAATAGCTTCAGCCCGACAGCCATCTTATTTAAATGAAAACATGATTTAATGAAATGACATTTTATGAGCTATAAACCAAGCAAATATTTGACATGAAGTGGAAGGGTAGCAGGGAGGAGAGAAAGGGTAAGAAAAGCAAGGGAAAACCGAAGAAGGACATGGGCCCATTTTATGGTTGTCATGTCTGCAGTGCCTGGCCCAGGGCATGAATGAGGAGAAGCAGGGAAAGCAGGTGTGTGTAACGGAGTGCAGAGAGCATCAAGTCAGAAAAAAGAACTAATGACACTTAACCTGACTGCCTAGAGCGAGAGCCACCCAGTCTTTTCTTGTGTAAATTACCCGAGGCTTCTGAGAAATGCGCCTACCCTCAGTTAGATAACTAGAAGTGGGCAACAGCCTGGGAACGCCTGGGGATGTCACCCGTGATAAGTCACATAGACATGCTTGGGTAAGCAAGAGATAACAATTGAAGCGGGCAGGCAACTGGCGCGTTCCCTAAAAAGGTTACAATGTTTCCCATTGGTTACAATATGGAGTGTGTTTTAAACCTATTAGTTGTAGAACTGCGCGGGCTTTGGTGTAACTGCTGTGAAGATCCTATATAATCAGTACCCAAAGTTGCTTCGGGGTCGGCAGCTCGGACTCCGCCTGCGTGTCAGGGGAGGTGCTGTTGACCCCAGCTTGCTGGCTGAATAAAGACTTTGCTTGGATTTTCATCTCCGTGTCCGTGTGTCTTGTTCTCTGGGAAACCCCGGAGTCCTAGACCCTAACAGTGTGAAGACACAAAAGGCGGAACAATCAAGTCAGTAGGATCTGCTCAACAGCATCAACAGCAGGCCAGGGAGAGCTCTGTGAGCAGATACCACCAGTATTCCCAGAGGACTTGCCTTGACAGGCAGGGCTTTCTCTGTTCGTAGCCCAAATCATGGGCTAGCTGCACCCCCAGGGCAGTACCACCAAGACTTAGAAGGGTCTAGGCCACTCAAGGTGGTATCTACTCCCTCCAAGGTCAGGAATGATCTCAAATCAGCCAGGTCTGAAGTCAGGGCCCTGTCTTCCAACTAGACAGGAGGCTCCAGGTCTCCCTCGCCTAGCCCAAGAGAAACAATCCAAGCTATAATTTGCTCTTCAGAATTTCCCTTTCTCCACTGCTGAGGCTGCAGTTTGTGGTCTACTGAGCTTCTCTTCCTCTTTAGCCCATGCCTAATCAGTGGAGGAGCCAAGAGGTATTTTCTTGCACTGCTGTGCCCAGTGCCTTTGAACTGCCTTTCATCCACTCTTGGCTAAAAAGAGAAGTTCTACTGAACTAGAAAGACCAGAGACTCCTTAGGGCAGAGTCCATTCCTAAAAATGAAACATCCTTTGACAGCAGGACCAATCCTGTTTCAGCCCAGTCTATCCTTCTTAAAACATAGCTCTGGCCATGTCACTCCCCTCTTTGGGGGCTTACATCATACCAGACCCATACCCAGTGCTTTATATGTAATTAGTCATGCAACATCACCAAAGTCTCACTGGACAGGTACTATTATTTGTCACCTCCATTTCAATTTCATAGGTGAGGCTTAGGTCAAATTCACGTCATTAAATAAATAAGTGGTATATCCCAAATTTGAACTCAAGCTTGTCCAAGGCTAAAGCCCCATGCCCCTAATCACTAAACCAAGACTTCTCCAGAGCAGTACTAGTCTATAGGATGTGGTTAAAATGCAAATTCTCATTCAGTGGGTCTGGGATGGGGCCTGAGATTCTGCATTTCTGACAAGCTCCCAGGGTATGCTGATTCTGTGATCCCCACATTTTGAGGGGCAATGCTCTAGAATTTTCTATTTTCCAGAGAAAAGGCCCAATAATTTTGGTTCATCTACCTTAGAAGCATGAAGACTTCTATCATATAGACTTCCTCTGGCCACCAGCTAAGGATATCATTTGCCTAAAGACATAATTGCCAAGAAATGGGCATGATTCTCCCAGCCTTCCTAGGAAATAACAAAGAGAAGCTAACAGAAAAGGAATCCCCATGAAATCCCCACATTTGTGGCCCTTCAGTGTTCCCTCCCGTCTCCCACCAGCAGATCTCTCACCTTTGTTCTATACCAAAGCAGGGCTGAGTGAAGTTCCTAGCAATCTCCCCTTGGAGCTGCAGAGCAAGCACCTGGATCGCCTACTCCTTTTATCTGCACGCCGCTAAGCCA